GCTGACTCCGAGGAAGAGGAGGAGGAGGAGGAAGAAGAGGAAAGTGAGCAGAGCCCTGGAGAGTGGGACCAGTAAACTCTTTTCCCCAGGGTCAAGGCTCCGGCCACAGCATGCTTGAATGAAGAGAGAGGGGCTCAGGGCCTTTTCCTCGAGAGGCATGTGTGCAGGGTGCGTCAGACTGACCACATCACACTCTGAGAGGTCGGCAGGGTCACATGTGTAGTCTTGTAGTTTCCATTTCATGTTGTGGCTCTGAAAATGGGGGAAAAGTAGAGTCGCAACACTGCCATCTACAAGCCAGAATTGGGGTCAAAGAGCCCATAATATGTGCGGTTGGCATCTGACTATAGTATTTCTTCCTCACCATGGAGAACTTAGAATCATTCCCTGATTCTGAAAAAAAGTTTACATTAGGATGGAAAACAATACTATCAGACTACTGACAGTGTAAATGAATGAATTTCTTCAGATTTTAACATGTGAATGTGAACATTATTTTAGAAATAATCAGAGGAAATAGCATGTATCCAGAAATTATTTTAAGAATTTTAAATAAAAATTTATTTTATGTATCAAGCATTATAACTCATAATAAAGAACTATTTATAATGTATCAGTGTAAGCTATGAAGAAATGAAAACAATAATATTGTCACGGATATAAACACTTCTTTATGGTTCTCAAGCAGAACGCTCCCTGCCTTGGTAAGTTTTCATTTTGTAGTAAGATTTTAGCCAAATTCTCATTTAAGCAAATGCTGAGGGTGGTGTTAGGTTCTGTTAAGTCGGTTCCTATTTGGACAGTGACTAAGGACGACAGAAGAATTGAGGCTTTTGAGTTGTGGTGTTGGAGAAGAGTATTGAGTATCCCATAATGGCCAAAGGAACAAACAGAGATGTCTTGAAAAAGTGCAGCCAGAGAGCTCCTTGGAGGCAAGGACAGTGACACTTCATCCCACACACTTTGGATATGTTGTTAGGAGGGGCCAGTGTTTGCAGAAGAACATCATGTTTGGAAAGGTGGAGGGTCAGCGTTAAAGAGGAAGACCCTCAGTGAGATAGATTAACACTGTGACTGCTGCAATGGGCTCAAGTGTGTCAGAGATGATAGGGGTGGCACAGGGTAGGGCAGAGTTCAGGTGTGTTGTTCCTAGGGTTGCTTTGAGTCAAACTCAATTCAGTGGCACCTAACAACAATATATATTTTCCGAACAAAACACTGCCGAATCTTGCATCATCTTCACAATCACTGCCATATTTTAAACCATTGTTGCAGGTACTGTGTCAGTCCATCTCTTTGAGGGTCTCTTTTTTACTAACCTTCTACTTTACCTAACGTGATGCCCTTTCCTGATAAAATGTCAAAAATACATGAGACAGCTTGTCACCATCCTTGAGTCTAAGAAGCATTCTGACATCAATTCTCCCAACGCACGATAGTTTTCTTTGGCAATCCAAAAGTCTAAGCAAATTATTAAGGGTAAGGGAATAATTGTTGTCAGCAACTCGAGTCTCATGCTGGAATTCTGCGCCCCTTTTTGCTTCAACTAAAAGAAGGAAAGGGGAAGGGAGTCAGTGCAAGGGAGTCTGCTCATTTTCCAACTGTCCCAAGTGTTTCCGCTAACATCGCAACCATCATTCTTTGTCACATCATGTTTCCACAGAACAAAAGTAATCTACCTTCCACCTTCCACTTTTATTTCCAAAGAAAAGCCCAAAGTATAGATCAGAAGACTGCCTGCTTGGAGTTTTTTCTCCACTAACTGTCCTGTATGCCTTGCTGGCCCTCACCGAGCTTACTTTACAGGGATCTCGGCCCATCAGCAGCTGTAACCAGGACCTGCCTCTCTAGCATGATTGGCATACCTCAGTGTGGACATAGACATGTTGCCCACAGGTCTGTCATGGGGTCTCCCTTCCCTGACCTCACATCCAGACCCAGCTCCTGTATGTGAACAGGCATTCCTATCAGCCGGGAGCTGCCTCTGCTGTGGTGTCTGACAGTGACCGTCACCCTGCATTTGCCCCATGCCAACTGCTGGGTGAGAGACACTCCCAAAGCCACAGGCCAAGCTTGGCACCGAAATAATTGCTTAAAAAGATTTTTATTATTTAAAAAACCATGACAAGATCAGAACTTGATTGAACTTTATTTTTCAGTTTGATATTGTTGTATTTAAATTACCTATTCCATCCTCACATTGCATTCCTGAAGGATTCTATGGGCAAAATGTGACTGATCCAGAAATCACCCAAAGAAGATGGAAGGAATACATAGAGTTGCTGTACCAAAAAGAACTGGTAGACACAGAATGATTTAAGGAAGTAGCATTTAATCAAGAGCCAATGGTAATGAAGGAAGAAGGTCAAGCTGCACTGAAAGCATTGGGGGGGAAAGGTGCCAGGAATTGGTGGAATACTAATTGACATGTTTCAGCAAACAGATTCAGCTCTGGATATGCTAACCAGTCTGTCCATAAAGAAATTTGAATGCTACCTGGCCAACTGACTGGAAGAGATCTGTGTTACTATTCCCGAAAAGGTGATCCAATATAATGTGGAAATTACTGTACAATATCATTATTGTTTGCAAGTAAAAGATACTGAAGATTATTCAAATACAGCAAGAACAGTACATGGACAGGGAACTGCCAGAAATTCAACCTGAACTGAAAAGAGGCCATAGTATAAAGGATATCATTGGGATGGATCTTGGCTGAAATCATAGAATACTAGAAAAATATTTACCTGTCTTCTGCCTATACAAAGGCATTT